CAAAGCAAATTTATATACCTGCGGATGGCTCATAAGCCTGATGATGATAGCTGCTGTGGTGCCAACTGCGGATTTGTGGACGCACCGATGGTAGGCGTGGAGGCGATACATTGAGCTGTGTGTGCCACTAAAGGCCCCTCCGATAGTGGCCGATGTGATGCCTCCTTTGATGCGTGGGGGTCAGGCCGGGTCACGCTATATAATTCCCTGCCTATCTACTATACGTGTGTCGTTACGCTACTGATGTCTCTTTATGTAGCACATTAGACATCATGCGCGAGGATGCATCAGGCTTCCTCTTCCTTCCCATAATAATCTGCCAAAGCAAGTATAACATTAATTGACAATTCAGAAAACATAGACAATGGTTTGTCGTCAACTAATAATATGACATTAATTTGAACTATACAATTACAAAGACAAAGTAAATTAAGAACATTGATGATTAACTAACAACCTTGGCTTTTAATTGAAATTACTAATGGTTTGAAAATTACATAATGTTTCCACACTATCAGCCTATTGAACCATCAACTGTTCCCCTTCTGTGGCTTCCCTCACCCAACCAACTTCTTCATCACGAAGCGATTAATTTTCTTCCAATTGTTGGCTCATGTATGGCTCGATTTGTGGATCAGTCGAACTCATATCAAATAAACCTCTTGAGACATCTTCACCACGACTTGCAGTCTGTTGTAACGGGTCTACAACATCACCCAAACTTTGCTCTGCTTTGCGGACGCCAGATGAAAGGTTCATTGCGTTAACTTCGATCAGTCTCGGTACAACAAATGATTGAAGTTCACCAACGCGAAATTGAAGTGAACATCTTCTTCTTTTCCTGAATGTTGTCAATCCAATTCACAACTTAAACAACACATGTTTCTTTCTCATTGGAATATCGAATCTCAACAATATCTGTCATTGCTCCATAATAGTACACAGACTCCACACGAGAATTTCTTGTCTTTTCGACTAGGCAATAAACTTATTGGTATCTGCCTTCAAAGCTACACACAATTTTGAGTGGCTCGACGATCATCCATGGCCGTTTACTCGATACGAAACCCATTCAGTATATACCCGTTGACTCCTTGCCAAAGTTATGAGGAACCATTTGCCAATAGAAAATTCTTCAGAAAATATGACATCAGTAGTCCTTCGCAAAGTTTGGACTATTAACACAAAATGCTAAAAATTTAAAAATGTAGTTCGACTTAAGTAACTAGAAATCTATAGAGTTAAAATACATTACATGTTCGCTTGACCAAATGTGAAAAGTTTCAAACATGTTCACCCGAAGTTGTGATGTCTCACAATGAGGCATTTTGAAGCTTAAGTACTTCAAGGTTCGCTGTGTAAGATTGAAATATGTAGCAATACAAAAAATTTTGTAGAAAATCCTCAATAAAATATTGAGTGAGTGACTTAAACCCTACTTTATGATGCGTTGAACCGCGCTTGTTTGATAAGAGTGTACCGATGGAGCTTGTACCAAGAAGTAAAGTGTTATCAAGATAAAAGCTTGTGATTTCACCAACAGCACGACCCAGATTATCATCACCATTGTAGTTCCTCACGGGTCGATTAGTTTTGGTTTCCACATCATTGAGATATTGTGCACAAAAATTCATGCATTCTTCCATAAGATATCCTTTAGCAATTGAACCTTCTGGATGAGCTCTATTACGCACATATTGCTTCAAAGTAAGAAGATACCTCTCAATTGGATACATTCATCGAAACTGAATCGCTCCACCTAATAATGCTTCGTCAGCTAGATGTATAGGCAAGTGCTCCATTATATCAAAAAAAGTAAGAGGAAATATTTTCTCTGGATGACAAAGTGTTACGGCGATACGATCTTGAATATATTGCAAATCCGTCGCACGATTCACTTTGGAACACAATTGTCTAACGAAATTGCTCAATTCAATCAAAGGTTCAATTACATTCTTCGGTAATGATCTTCAAATAGCCAATGGAATTAGTTGTTGCATCAGAATATGACTATCGTGGCTCTTAAGACCCCCAATACTTCTATCATGTAAGCGCACGCGATGCGATATATTGGATGAATACCCGTCGTGAACTCTAACTTCCTTCAATACTTTCAAGAACAAATCTTTCTCATTCTTGGTCATCGTGAATTGTGCCGGTGGTAAATAAGCTTTATTCGACCCTCTTAACTGCAAATATAGGGGTTTTCTAATATTTATTTGTTGTAAATCACGCCGAGCATTAACACCATCCTTCGATTTTCCTACAATCCCTAATATTGTCTACAACACATTGTCACAAACATTCTTCTCTATATGCATCACATCGAGGTTGTGTCTTATTAGATTGTGCTCCCAATATGGCAGTTCATAGAAGATACTCTTTTTCTTCTAGCTATGGGTGCGATGTCCAGCTTTCTTCTTCTCTACTTGTCTCCTATGCCTCTCCTTAAGGTCATCCCTCTTGTATTGGGTTAAAATACCCTCAGATTTTAATTGTAGTAGCATCTCAGTTCCAGAAAACAATTTTGGTTTGAATCTGACTTCCTGACTACCATCAAATGATACTTTATCCTTTCAAAATTTATGGCCACTAGGTAAAAATCTGCAATGACCCAAGTATGATTGTTTCCTACTATGCTTCAACCAACACGATGTAGTTTCCCTATTGCAACAAGGACATGCATATTCGCCTTTAGTGCTCCATCCTGACAAGATTGCATATGCAGGAAAATCACTAATTGTCCACAGTAAAGATGCATGCATTTGAAACATTTGATTTGTTGATGCATCAAATGTGGAGACACTGTCATTCTATAGTTCTTTTAACTCCTCAATCAACAGTTGCATATACACATCAATCTTGTCACCAGGTTCTTTCGGGCCATCAATAAGCACAGATAAAATTAGAAATATGCACATCCATGGCGGCAAGTTGTATGGAATGCGTACAACAGGCCAAGTGCTATGAACTATGTTCATCGTCCTGAATGGGTTAAAACCATCAGATGCTAAGCCAAGCCTTACACTTCGGCAATCATTACTAAAGTCAATATTCCGACGGTCAAAATCTTTCTATGCAAGGGAGTCTGCAGGATGCCTAAAGACACCGTCATCAATTCGTTCCTCTGCATGCCATCTCATTAACTTAGCCGTCTTGGATGACATAAACAACCTCTGCAACCTTGGCTTTAAAGGAAAATACCTCATTTGTTTTGCAGCTATTCGTTTGCCACCTTTGTTAGGACCATTTGAACCACCATCACTATTTGATTTCCATCTTGAACTGTTGTATATGACACATTTATTAAGATTGGCGTCCTCGTTTCGAAACAACATGCAACTGTTGGGACATGCATCCCACGTCTCATACGTGAAGCCCAAATTTGTTGTGACCTTTTGAGCTTTATAATATGAGTCAGGGAGTTTCACACCCAATGGGAACGCCTCATTCAATAACTCAAGCAACTTGTCAACAGACTTGTCTGTCCACTGATTAAGCACCTTCAAATGTAAAAGTCGAACAATGAATGACAAAGATGTGAACTTCTGACAACCCGGATACAATTCACTTTGTGCATCTTGAAGAAGTTTGAAATACTTTGCAGTCTCTGCATTTGGACCGAGCTGGGGTTCAAATGCATGGGGATCAGGCCCTTGTGGTTCATTACCCTCAACACTTGTACCGGCATGTGGATTTCCCATAGCTCCTTGTATCATTCCAATCATATCATCCCCAATGTCTAAATTAGCTAATGTTTCATTCTCTCGATTACCATGCAGAGATACGTAAGATTCCCCATGATTAATCCAATGTTTGTATTT